CAGAAGAGAAAAAGATGAGAGAGTAATACCACTTTACGTCTATGAAAAACTCAAAAATTCAATGATTCCACACATGTGAATTATTTCCTAAATATGAGAAATAATTAATATGATTTTTGAAAAATGGCAAAAGGGTTGTACGTTTTATTTTAGATTAGCCCACTGTACGTCGCTGCACAGAATAGTCACTTGGAGGTTGTAAAACACTTGGTTGCTGTCGGTGCGAATGTAAAGAGGAGTATTGCGCGCAAGGTGAGTTAAAAGACTGTCATAATTTTCTATTTTTTGCTTAAAGTTTTTTAAACATTCTGTCGTAATTGCTGTCTTTGACAGTCCATCCTTGCTGGACTGTCTTTCTTGTAGTTCTTGTGGTATAATTGTGAAGATTCCGAAACATGTGAAAGTAGTCAGCGAAACTGTAATACATGCGTATACACAGGTTGCAATACACAGGTTTGAGAACACTTGCTCAGTGTTGGCGGTGATGTAAATGCGAATGAAGAGGTTGATGTAAGGACTGATCTGAAAGATTTGTAGTTTTGTAATTTCTGCTAAAAATCCTTCTAATGTTTTTCTGAAAATGTCGTTTTAATATTATTCTGCGGGTCGTCTTTATTTCGTGCTGAACGAGCGGCGGCTTTCCAAAGTGGAAGAAAATAAATTAGGAAAAGTGCAGCGTCTGCGGAGGGATGTAAGTTTTGGGAAGGATTTATGACTTTTCGAGGAGTGGTGAAATGCTTCAATTTTGAGCGGTGGGAAGTTTCTTCCTGTAAAGAACAGTAGCTGAAACTTGTTAGGAAAGGGAGAAGTGATGTTTTTGTTTTGCCGAATTGCACTGTAGATTGTGCCGAAGAGTTGTCGCTTGGAGGTGGTGAACTTCGTCGAGAACCAGGTCAATTGCGTGAATGCCGGGAAATGAAATAAATGGGTGATGCAATCAAAGGCTCCTTTTGCGTCGCCATTAAGAATTTAGAAAACCTCCTAATGTGAATTCTTCTGTTGTGCTCTTAAATTGGCGCGAATGTAAAGGACCTTTTCTGACAGCTGAGTGCTTGAGAGTTGTGAGAGAAAAAGACTTAGGCTTTTGGTTTTTATAAGCTCTACTAGACATCGTCTAGTGAATTTTCACTTAAATTTGATAGGCTGATTTCCCAGGAAGCTTAGTGGCGTGAAAGAGAGTTCAAAAAAAAATGGTAGAGAGGGTTCTGCGAAATATATGATATTTGTCGTTTTTGTCTTGTATTCTTCTGTAATTTCTGTGTGTTTGCGATTGCAGGATGATGTGAGTTAAATGATTCTGAATTTACTTCATTTCTGCAAACTCTTGGGTTTTAGTATTTTTACGTAATTAAAACCGGAGCTAATTTGGTATATTTTTCGCTGTTGTTGTTAAAATAGGTAAGTTGAAAGTGTTGCGGATTGCGTGAAACCAGTTAATCGTTTTTGTGGTTCACGGTAAAGTGAACAAACTTGAGTGTTTTGGCTGCTTTTTAGGTTTTTGTCCATTTTGATAGGGACTGTGGTGCGGTCAAAAACTGTTTTTATATAAGTCTCTAAGTATTATTTCTTTAAAAAATTAGACGTTCTAGGTCACGGTCGGAATGTAAGAAAAGTTTGTTCGTTTTCTGCAGGTTTGTAAATCGTCGCTTTCAATGCGGTTGTTTCAAAAGAAAGTTGTTTGAGTTGTTGTAAAAGGAGTAACGTCAACTTGCATTTTGTCAGTCTGGGTAATTAATGAGTTGTTTTAATGCTTCGCTCGACTGCTATTTCTTTCAGAGAATTTGCAAGGTTCTTTAGGTTACTACTGATGTTCCATAATTCAGTTTGCGAGAAGTTTGTGGGTATGTTCAATAACTTTTTAGTGTCTTGTCTCCGCTACAGATTTGTTCGAGCACGTTTTTTTTTTGCTCTAGTGGGAGAAATATATCAAAAAATGTTTTCTGTCACCCTCATAAAGCAGCTTATCCTCTTTCACTTTTTCAATATCGTTATGCTCTTCTGCAGAGGAAGAATAAAAAAAGAAGGTTTACGAAAGATACAATTTGTAAAAATTGTTTTGTCGCAAAACGACGTGCATATCTCTTTTTGTCAGTATTTGGCAGGTTTACAACGCAGTAGTTGCAAATCTAAGTCGATATTTCATCCATGTTGCTAATTCAAACTTTTTTTTGCATGCCTTTTTAGGCCTCTCTTCTTTAACGTCTTCAAAAAATTATTGTTTTTTTTATCATTCTACTTAACGGCTTTTGTTTTATCGCCTGCACCAGTTTTCTTCTTAAAGCATTTAAGTATCTATATAAAATTATAATTTTTAGCTAACGAGAATAAATCAGCAGAATTCCTTCCAAAAAAAAGTTAAAGGACTTTTCTTTAAGACGTTTAGTGCAACTTAATTGCAAATGCTTCTTCACATATCAACTGCTTTTCCACTTTTTTGCTTTCTTAAAAATTTTTTTCAATTTCTGTCAAATATAAAACTTTTTTTTTAATATGCGTTTGACTGCTTTTACCAAAACAATTAGAGAGAAATATTTTGCTATTGACCAAACCTCTACATGGAAGTTTTTCAGAAACATTCAAATAAAAAAATTTTTACAAACTCAGGAGTCTTTCATTTTAAACTTGTAAAGCATCAGGTGGTAAATAAGATACTCTTTGTCATTTCCGACGTTATTTTACGGTATTGAAAAATCACTTGGGTTAGTTAAGTTTCAGCACCTTAGCAATTTGCGTATTACTCCGTCAAATAAAAATCAATTTCAAAAGACTAAGGGTATTTTCTAAAGTTTTTTCCTACATACTTGCATGTTTTATTCAATAAGCAATTTCTGTGCTCAGTTTAATTTCCTGGCTTTAAGTAAACCTTTTTTTAATCTATAAAGCAATTGTCAAGTCGTATAATTTTTTCTGCACAATATTTAAAGTAATTCTGAAAGCTTCTTTTATATTCCTACTGTACATTCACAGACAATTCTATCAAGGCGGAAGGGCCATCCTGCGCTAAGCTGTAGAACTTTTTGAATTGATACCTCATACTTTTTCTTCAATTTCTGTAATTATTAAATTTTAGGCGCAGTATGAAAAACTGAATAGCGAACCCAGGAATACAAACTGCGCACTAAGTTGTGCCATTTCAAAGCCGCTTGTTTAAAAGTGTGGTTTTGTAAGGCAATTACATGAATGAAATAAAAAGGACAATTCAATAAATATAGACATGAAAAACGTTCTCAAGCCGTCAAAAAAATGATTTTTGCGTAGAATTTCTTGCTCTGTAACACATTAAAAGTTTCTGATAGTGTTCTTCAGATCAAAGAGTGAAAGGCTAAAAAGAAATGTAAAGTTGACGCTAACAAAATTGTAAAACATATACCTTGTTACACGCCGCCAAACCAGTAAAGAATGTAGTGCATAACTGAGCCAAATTACGATGTGACAATGTCTTCGTTCGTACGTGTAGCTTAAACCTCTCAAGTATTAGTACACCGTTTCGGTTTATCTAACCAATGCTTAACTTAGTAAAAGCTACTGTTTCTATTCGTACATTGAAAGCGTAAAAGCAGCTTAAGACTTCCAGATATGCTCTTTGTCCGAAGAAATTTTCAAAATTTGGAGTGCACTGAAAATCACGTTGACAATTCATAAAATATTTTAGATTTTACAGGTCGTGACAACGCCTGAGGTAGAATAAAAATCAGAAATTCAGAGTCAGAGGTGGTAAAACAAGTGCTAGTTTAATTCCTGGTTTCGCGTGAATTATACAGTGTAGCTTTATGAAGAGGTTCATAAGGCTCCACAATGCTTCCTGTGTCCTTCCTCAAATTTCTGTTAGAGTCGCCTAGTAGTGCTGGAAAATATACCATTGACAGGGCCAGAGAAGCAAAACTTGTCATTGAATGTCAAGTGCTGTTACCCTTCAGTCAGATCTTGAGTGTCGCTTGTAGCTACTCACGTATCCCACACTGCGGTGGCGCCTAGAAAGACAAATTGCCTGACAAGAAACGCGAGGTTAGTAACATCCCTATTCTAAACACAAGAATGAAACAATTGTTGCTACTTCTCTCGATACCTGTAAAATAACACTGGTGCAAAATGAGTTTTTTGCTGTTTTTTCTTGAGAGCAGAACTGCTTTGTCGATTTTGAGCTTTGTAACTAGTGAAAGGTTTGGGCACCAGCAGGAATTGCAACCAGAAACGACACTGTATTGTAACGCATATTTATCGTTGCCGCCTGAAACTGTGTCGGTAGGATACTTTAATCAAATAACTTTTGTAAATAGCTAAATAATTTTTTTGCAGCTGGGCAAAGAGGAGAGAGAGAACAAGTTTTGCTTACTTAATTTGCTTTCCTCTGTTCTTCTTTAACTGCTTTGTGCTTGTTTTCCAAAACAGAAAATTTATTTTTCATCTTTTTAGCTGACTCTTTGTCCTTACCAAAAAAGCTTTTGTCACCCGCCTACGCTGTGACGGGATTAGCTAACGTCTCATCAGTCGGATAATCCAATCAAATTCACTTTTTTCTTAGTCTTTGAAGAAAACTTGTCGGCCACATTGTTTTTGTGTTTTCTGCATACTTGTACGCAACCCACTCTGGACGAGTTGCATCGGTCCTGCGCCAGAAAAATGAGGAAGTATCTTTTAGTGTTATCAATGAGCCTCACGTACCACATGTGCTAATCGTATGCGGTACCAAAAAAGCAGGCTTTTGGGTAGCACTGCTTCTTCCAGTACGTCATTGTAATGGGGTCACCAACTCAGATGTGGGCTAGGGTGTCAGCAAATTGTTGTTCTGCGAATTCGCGGAAAGTAGTCTTTATTCTTGCGTTCTGTTTTCTTTAGATATTTTGATTTACTGAACGGTACAATGATAAGTTTTATCTCAACAAAAAATTAAAAACACCAGTTATGTCTGTTGTGGCACAGTTATGTCTGTTGTAAATTGTATCTGATCTTACAATTTTTTTCGGTTTATGACTTTTAATTCTCAAAGAACTCAAAGATTTTTGCAATAGCTGTTAACAAAAAACAATCTGGAAATAATAACGAGCGTATTTTCAATAAAAATTCAACCAATACTGTTGCTCTCATTTTGATTTTTGCTGAAGAAGATATAGTTTTTTCTGTGATTAATTAGCGTTTGTACATAGAGAAGCTAATCTTAGTACTGATAAATCTTTTCGAGTGTTTAGCAGGTGCACAGCTAGATCCTAAGCATGTACAAAGAAACGGCCTGTGAAAGGGCAAAATGATATATTTCTTGTTATCTTTCTATTTTCAGAAGTCAGCGTTGGGAATTGCACAAAGGAATTTTAGTGCGGATATTCTTAGACTTCTTAATCGTAAGTAAGATAAAGCATAATTTAATTTTAATTGAAATACTGCCATAAAAATTAAACTATTTTTGCAAATTAAGGTAGTGCAGAAACACCTTATAAATCAATAAAAGTCGGAGAATGTATCGGTAAAGGTGCTCAGGGTGAAGTGCGAAAAGCTGAAGTTTTTGGAAAAACAGTTGCTTTGAAAAGAATAACATTCGATGAAAAAAACGCAATCGTCGGTTTACTTCATTTGGACTGTCCAAATTTGGTGGAATTTCTGTTAGTATTATAAGTTATTTATTTCTTTTTAAACTATATTTTGGTGCCGTTTGTTACATATATCGGTAAAACAGATTACCTTTTGATTGAAACAATTTTTGCTTATTATACTACCTAAATAATCTTTGAAATTAAATTTTTCAGAGGATTTTCCACTAGAAATGGATGTTTTTACGTTTTTATGGAATACTGTAGTAAGGGGTCATTGAAAAATGTGATTCACAGTAACGCTTTAATTGAGAAAGCAAGTTTTTGCGATTGGGAGAAACAAATTGTTAATGGAATGTATTTTTTGCATCGTAATGGTGTCGTCCACCGCGATTTGAAAACAGACAAGCAGGCAGCTTTTTGCTTAATAGTGCGCAGCTTTCATCTATTTGTTTATATCAGTATGCTGGCGTTTTAGCATTCTTCTTAGCGATAAAAATAACTTGTTAAAAATTTGCGACTTTGGTATTTCCTGCCTAAGCGACTCGTCACACAGCAAAAGCACTAAAGGTCTTCGTGGCACTTTGCCTTATATGGCTCCTGAAATGGTTAATGATGAACATTTTTCAAAAAAGGTAATTGTTTTTTTAGGATTTAAAACGCCACTTTTTTCTCCTAACGTCTTTGCCACTTATTAACAACGCAGTCATTCAATAACAATGCTATTGACTTTCAGTCTGATGTGTGGAGCTTTGGAGTAGTCATTTGGGAACTACTAACGAGAACAAAACCTTATGAAAATTTCAAAAATCACCAAATATTTCTATTAGCTGCTCGAAGGTAAGTTTAGAAGAAATGAATGATTGAGGTTTGAGCAAGTTTTATATTAATAAAAAGGTAACTGCTTTTCAAAATTTCTGGATCAGATAACGATAAAATTACATTTATAGTGATCATCATCTTCCTATACCAGAAGAAATATCTTCAAAATTAAAACAAATGTTAGATATGTGCTGGAGGAAAAAGTCTGCAGAGCGGCCTGAGTTTGAAACAATTCTGGAAGAGTATTCAAATTTAGACGTAAATTTTTAATTTGTAGAATCCAATACTGTTACAGACTTTTTATCGTAAACACCTTTTAACTTAAGTTTTTAGAAGTACATTGTTTATAACAAGTTGTAATTTTGTAAAACATATTTCACTATTTGCTACTTGTGATTTTAGGCAGATCCTTACTTTGTAAAAATCACCGAAAACGAGTGGCAAAGATTAGTTCCAGAGTGGAAAAAGACAACGCAGAATAAAATGAATGCGATACGGGCTCAGTTTTTTAAGGATCATTTCTAGTTCTCTTCGTTTAACATCGCCATTTACTGTAGCGATTTGTTACCATTATTATTTTTAGTTCTTCAAAAAGACTTGAAGAATGGACATCTTTTAATACTGATTGTGGAAAAGTCTTAACTTTTTAACATGTAATATAGTAAACATCACTCTTTTGTCACTCACATAAGGCATGCCAGGAAGCTAAACATTCACGTTAAATTAACCTGAAGAAGATCCAAAGTTTTGAGTTTTGACAATCAGTGATTGACGAAAATCGACTTGGTTTTTGTAATTTTTGCTTCGCTTCAATCACTGATTTCTGCTGTAAACAACTTTTTTGGCTCTTTTCAATAACATAAAATGGCTTTATTATGGTACTTTTTTGAAGGTGAATAATCTTGTTTTGAAATATGCTTCATCGAAAATTACTAAACATGTGTCGAGTTCGCAGAAGAAAGCTCTGCTCTGTCTTTTATAACAAAATTTGTTGATTTCTTCATGTGACTTTCGATCCTCTGCACTAACGATGTTTGGAGCTCCTGCCGTTCGACAGTCCCACAGCAGCGGCCTCAAACAGGCCCTCTTCTGGTAGCAAGCTGCGACCACAGCGACGTCGCTTCAGTCGCAGAAATTGAGAAAACATATCGATCGTGTCAACCTTGACTGAGCACCGAGAAGTTCCCTTCTCTTGTGGAGCAGCTTCATGGCACAGTTGTGAATTTATAAAAAATTGTGAGATGTTATGGATCGGTTTGACCGTCTGTAGTAAAACGAATAGAGAGAGGTTGAGTGTGGAGCTGCAGTAAAAAATGTTTAAAATAACGAAGTTACGTTAGTGATGCAAAAATGTTTAATTACCCAAGTTTGAGGTAAGACTCATAAAATGACTCATAAAAACTTAAAAAAGCTGCCACAAGAGGTCAAACCTGTCCATATTGTCCCAGTACTGTCACCACTGCACAGCTTATCTCGAACTTGGGTAATTGAACATTTTTTGCATCACTGACGTTACGCTTTGCACAGCCCTGTCGCGTCACCTTCGCCATCCGCTTCTCTTTGCCGCTGCCTCCTTCGCTGTCCCCTTCCCACACTTCCTCGCCAAAAAGCAGCTAGCCAATCAGCGCGCTGAAGCCGTCAGTCGACAACAGCTCCTCGTGGAGGACCCTCGGCAAACCTTTATTTTATTCTATAAAGTAATAAAAGTCGTCAAATTGAATTTTTTTACGACTGAAAGCGTTTGTGAAAACTGTTTTGTAACCTCGTAAAAAAATTTTATCTTTGATTTATATTATATTTTGTCATAGCTTTTTTTGTTATGGAGAAATACTCGCTGTTATTTTTTCAGCTCACCGCCATTAGTAGTTCATAATACTGTTACATCAAAAACCTGTCTAGCAGACCAATGAAAACCCAGAAAAAAGTCTATTATTGCGGAAACAAAATTGGTTTATGACGCTGACGAAAAAGATTAGGAGGTCTAGGAAACCGGTTTGAGAAGCAGCAAAGCCAGGAAGGAGTAGCAGGGCAGAAACAGTTCTCATGATTGTTGTCTAAATGCGGAGAAAACAATACTGCTAGAGTCAGACAACACTTTCAAATGTGTCTGGAAACTGTTAATCCAGAGTGATGTCATAAAGTCTTCTGCACTGTTCAAGCACTGTCTACTTAACTATTCCAGTATATTTTTCTCTGAGTATGTGCAAACAAACAAGTGCATAGTTTAACATTTGAAATGATTCATCAAGATATCTATATAGTTGCAAAAGAACAGATAATTTTTAATATGATCTCTTTGACTGCTTAAACTCATTTAGGATATAATCTCATTCAAATAGACATAAGTAATGTTTAAAGTTTCAAAATCTAAAAAGCATCACTTTGGTAGTTTATTTTCTGGAAATGTTTCCGTCTTGTTCTCGGCTTCTACAACAAATTACCTCTCTTAATGCAATGACGTTTCAGTTGATTTAAAAAATATCTTTAAAGGAGTTTTCCATTATTAACTCAGAAGATTAAGAAAAATTTCAAGTCATAGCGCAAAATGAAAAATTGCAGTGTTGAAAAAAGGACTTAGACAGTTATAGACATTGCAACAGATTTATGATTACGCAGATTCTCACGCATGAAAGAATCATCTTAGAAAAAACACATCTTCAGGTTTGACCAGTAAAAAAAAATTAGTTAATAATTGCTTTGATAACTTATTTACAAATACCACTACCTGACAAACCAAATCTGGAAGTATAACAAGCTGCAAAAGTAATTTTAGAAAATTTTTTTAGAAAAACTATAAGAGCGTCACTCAAACATCGTGCATTTAGAGTCATCAAAACTCAGAAACTAAACCCTGGTTTGAAAAATTGATAAATGCAGTAAAATCTTAGTTATCTTTATTTTCCTCACCGAATAAAAAATCACTGTTTTTTGAAATAATGCTAGTTTTACTTAGTCATTTTTCAAAACAAAGTATCTGTCAGAAAAAATCTGGTCAGGAAAATTTTCACAATTTACAGCACAGTTAAGCTTTGAGATTTGACAGCAAAAAATTGTCACAAGGTTAATGTGCGAACTTGATTCAATAAATCAGGTGCTTTTTAGGCTAAAAACAATTTTGGTATGACATAATGAGAGATGATAAAATACGGCCTCACATTCCTACATTCAAGTTCAATCAAAATGTCTCGTAAGCTCGTAGATAACAAGGTGATATAAAAAGTGCTTCTAAAGTAAAGAAATTTAATTTTCAAGCCCTGAAACCCAAATTTTTGAGAGAAAAAGAAAAAGAGAAAATTCTTTTGAGATTTCGAAAACTGAACAAAGTTTGTGAAGTAATTCTAGAATCAGATGTATAAATTGATTTTTGAGTGTTTTCTGACTGAAATTAACCTTGAAAAGAGGTATTTCTTAGCCATTTCGAATTATGGAGGTAACAAAACTTATTTAATCAGACTTGAAAAAATTATTTCAATTCTGAAACTGTTAAAGAAAGGATTATAATAAGAAGTATTGTGACGTAGAGATTTAAGTAATATAGAGATTAGATTCTGAATAGAACTGCATCTGTCTAAATTTAGTTTAGATTGTTAAAAGCATCTTAAGAAGAACAATGAAAAATTAATTGGGCAGTCTATTGGAAGTTGCTTGTTATAGTGTACTAAAAGGTAGTAGAACCTCTTACTGTTAGTACAAATTAATTTTCTTGTTCCTTTTTCCTGCAAAAATTACTTTAAAAAATTAAGCACTCCAACTGTTTACCAAAAATGTTCTGTAGAGGATTGCAAATTACGGTAACTAAAGTACATAAAAGATATTAAAAACCAAAATAAAATTCGGAGTAAAAGCCGTCCTAAAAATTGTAAGATACACAAAAGTTTTCAAAGTAAATCTTACCGGTCATTCAGCTGTGCTAATATTACTATTTTTCGAAAAAAAACAGGAAGAAAAACTGCTTTAGATGAAAATAGTACAACAAAAAATAGTACAGAAAGTAATGACAGAACCTTATCACTAAGGTGGTGAAGCATTGTAAAAGCAGGGTGAAAACTCTTGAAGAAAGAGCGAGTTTTTTGAGCAGAGCAAAGAGCAGTTTTTCAAAATTATAAAGTTTAAAACAAGTTACAGAAACTGAAAATTATAGTTTTTCACATTTTCTTTTGTTTGCTAAAAGTTTTAGTGTTTCTGTCTTATTCTTAGCTTTTCAAATACCAATTGCTGCTAGAATTAGGATACAGCACTCATTAAAGCGTTTTTTTAAAAAAAATACAGAAGAGATTAGGGTCTCTCCAGGTTTCCTTGAAACCAACGACTGCTTGAATAAATGTTGAACATTGCGGCTAATGCACAGCACGCACATAGTGATATCAGCGAAGTTATCTGTGAAGACAGGTCAGACTTGCTTTCCAAATTTTGTCAGCTTTAGTAATAGACAATTCTGGAAACTAATCAATCAAGGAAAATAAATACAAATTTTTTTTTTTGGGCTGCAGTGTATATCTTCTTGCAGCTGCTACAAGCAGTACTGAAGCGTTAAAAAAAAACATACAAAACATAAGATAAAACAATTCAGTTAAGCAGTATTACATTTTTAATTAATGAATTCATAAAATGTTGTAAATTCTAGAAAATATGTGTGAAAATACTTGGCATATAAAAAGAAGGGAAGAATGCTTCAGCTTACTCCATCAAAAGACTAAGTTCAAGTATTAATAAAACTTCAGAATAGTGTCAAAGAATATCAATATCTGTAATATAAATAAGAAAAAATTTTGAGGTTATGTTGAAAAAAATTTTTTTGAGTTTTCTTCATCTTGAGAGAAAATGATAAAAGTGTAAAAAAACCTAAATTTTTTGCCAACTGATTTTAATGCAAAGTAAAATGGCTCAATCTAATGTTGCAGTGATAAGCTTAAAAAACGGACAAAGAGTGACTCTGATTTTACACGGTTTGTAAAAATAACTATTTTACGTTAAGCTAAAATAAAAACAGATAAAATTGCTCACTTAAATAGAGAAATTTGTATTTACCTCCACGAAAAAGCAATTTCTCATACGATTTATCAGATGCAACAAGAACTTTCTTATGCTGGAATAAGTTACCTTGAGTTTTTGACTGTCTCGCTTTTTGTGCAGAAATTCTTAAAAGAGTTTTCTTAATACGAGTGATAGTCTTCGCAAGTAAAAATGAAAGTCTTTGCAAAACAGTTTTTCTAAGCAGTCACGTTTTAGAGGCCTAAGGAGGATATAGCGCTGAGAGTAAGCAAAAAATTGACAATCAAGAAATTGACAATTTTTTTTAGTATTAAAATAATATAGTTTTCAGGGTCTGTACAGTATATATGTAACTAGTTTTGCTCTTCTGATACTTCACAGAAGAGTAAAGCGCTGAAAACTACAGTTTTGAATGCAATGATTCATCTACAGAAATTATCTAGTTTTAGTTTTACAGAATGAATGAAATGCCGCCGCTATTCTGCGTAAAGACTAATTTACCCAGTCGTTGAACGTCTAAGAAAAAAAGTATA